CCCAAACCTACTACCATTATTCTTCATGTAGGCCTCAACAACCGTGATCAGATACCAAAGACCTCCTTTAACCAAGCCCAGAAATTAATCGCCACAGCCAACAAAACCATCCCAAACTCCAAGATCCTCTTCACATGTATACCCATTTCAAATAAAATCTCGAAGAAAGCACAACAGAACCTCAGCACCCTCAACAACATGATGATGGAGTCCAGTATCAACAGCGCAACAATCTTACCACCCTACGAAGAAGAATTCGAAACAGTTGATAATCTTCATTGGTCTCCAGAAACAGCAAACAGCATTTATTTGTTTTGGATACACCAGCTTCAAGCATCGAGTAAGTCTTTAAACTAATTACTGGGGATAAAAATACTGAGAGGCCACCGCTAGGCCAAACTGTAGTTAACTTGAGCCGCAAAATTCTCACACCCCTTCAGCATTCAATCTTAGACCGTGGACTTAAGTTTATTCCCACACCAAAGATAGCTAACTTGAATTATCCCCGACCATCCATTGAACGATTTCAACGAAATCTTAGCTGCACATATTTTTTTCGAAACCACCCCCCACGTGGTGCTAGAACAATGTTTATTCCTAAATCCACGTGGACACCCCCTCAGGCCGCCATCCATCCTGAAATATTGAAAGCATTTGCTAGTATGAATAGCCAAACAGTGAACCTTTCCATAACACACAAAAAGCCTAATCTCACACGAGTGGAACGTGAAGCGTTAAACTTACTTAAGAAAGACGATAGCATTGTTATTAAAAAGAGTGACAAAGGTTCATGTTGTGTCATTCTGAATAGGGAGGATTACGTTTCAGAAGCAGAGAATCAACTGAATAATCCTAAACATTATGCCATTTTACCGAAACCAATTTTCAAAGAAACTGCTAACATGATTAACAATATTCTTGCCGATTTAGTCAAAACTAGTTATCTCAAACAGAAACAATATGACTATCTGTCTGCCAAACCTGATTGTCGCGAGAGACATTTGTACACTTTGCCTAAAATCCATAAGAATCCAACCAAGGAGTGGTTTATCTCGAATAAAATCCCTAAAGGCCGCCCGATTATATCTGACTGTGGTAGTGAGTCATATGCAGTGTCAGAATACATTGATCATTTCTTACTACCTCTAGCATGCCAACATCGCGCCTACCTTAAAGACACAACCGATTTTGTCAATAAAATAAAAAATCTTCGAGTTCCCTCTAATGCTAT